TCTATAATGGTATATTGTGTGTTTTTGCAGTGCAAAACATAATTTATATACCTATATTGTTCAATGTAGAATTGAATTTGTGTATGTATTTAACAAATATCAATTAACTACAAAAATTCCATCATTACCAAAATCTTTGATGCGAAAGTTTTTGGTAGATTTATATTTTATAACTATCGTAATTTATATAGAATAATTTGGTTTTTGTACTTTTTAGGACTGTGTACAAATGCAAACGATTGAAAGATTCTGAAACGGTAGTTGTGAAGGAAATTTGTGTGAATTTTCAGATCACGTGAGCTTGAGGTATAAAATATTCTTGTCTGTTTGTATAATTTAAATATATATATATATATATATATAAAATATATATATATATATATGTATTAATAAATGATTTAAAAAATATTTTAGAGTGTTAAAAACGAAATAGTGATTTTAGCAAAATTATCACATCCCAATATAATTGGATATCATGAGACATTTTATAATGATCATTCTGTTTTTATTGTAATGGAATATGCTTCTAAAGGGACACTGAGCAGTTATTTAACGTCGAAAACAATAACACTGCCTGAAATGGTAATATGATATACATACTAATATTTAAATGTATTTAATTTTTAGGTATGATTCACTTGCATATATCGATAACAACCATTGTAATATTGTTTATTTTTTTATCATATTACATATCGCCGCATTGTTTGCATAGAGATTATCTGATGGATATCAATAATTATTTCATTTAACACTTACCCTACCGACAATTATGTACATCTGTATACCTATACCTACCGCTTGCGGTCAAGTTGACTTACAATTAAAAAGTTATCTGTTTTATTATTTAGTTCAGATGATTGATTTGAAGTTTATAAAGTAAAGAAATTTTCATGAAGTTTCAACTAAATTTATTTTTATATAATTTCGAAAAGAAATTATAAGAAAAAAACAAATAAAATCAAATATTTATGCAGAACGTCTTTCAATCTTTTTTCAATGTACACTTAATGCAAATATATTTGTTTTCATTACTTTTACAACATTTTATTTGACAAGTTTTTCGTCCGCGCAAAGCCGAACTTATAGACAGTGCTGATAAAAATTTGATCGAGAATTTGTATATACATCGTCAAGATTAAAAGTTAATCAAAACAATACATTTTGCCTAAAAATGCTTTTACTCGTCGTCTATGTTACCCCAGTCAAATTAAGTTTTTAGTTAGGAATAATTCGCATAGAGCTGAAATTTGGTACAGATGTTAAATAGGCCATTACAAATGAAATGTCAAAAGTCCCAATCGATCCGACATCTGCGATTTTTTTTATTCAAGGTCAAAGATGCAAAAATCTAATTATTGCCATTTTCCGCCGAAACCATAAACTTTTTTAAAAATTATGTTAGATAGGTTTATTAATATAAAATTCTCTATGAAATTGTTATTATTAATTTTTTTAGTTAGAATCACCGTTTTGAGATATTGCCGTTTGAAAAGTTGAAAAATTCATATTCTTCATAATATGCAGCTTTTAAACGTCACGAAATGTGTAATATAAGTAAAAAATAAAAGTTTGTTGGTTTCTGCTTAATGTAGTATAAGTTTAATTAAATTTTTGAAGTATAAAACTATAGTGTCAGCCCCTAATTACCTTAGTTCTTAAGCAACACCCGCCAGCTATGTCAATTTCCTAGTGTGGGTCACATATATTTTGAAATTTAATTTGAAAATTTTTGAAAATATTCGATGTTTTTTTTGAAATTATCGAAATATTCTCAAATTTTTGTAAGAAATCATTTTTGTTTTTAATTTTTCAAAATTTATTTTTTTATGAAAAATTCCGAAAATTATTTGAAACTTTAAATTTTTTTGAAAGTCTTGATGTTTTTTGAATTTTTAAAATCGGACACTGCGTTTCTTAAAAACTGAGTTACCATTTTTGGCACTTTTTGCCCCATAACTTCAGAACGGCTAGACCTGCCTTCGCCAAAAACTATTCAGCACGTTTTCTAATCAATGCGAATCTAATGTTTTTTGAATTACTCAAATGGGTTGATCGGTGTTCCCGAAATCGTCGACGAAAATTTGTATCCGCACACACACACATACACACACACGCACATACATCAATTTTTTCTAAGGTATGCCAAAATATTCAGAAATCTTTCAAACGTAAAGATATATAAAAATTTTCATTTTTGATGTTTTTGCGATTACTATAACTTACTATAACTATTTACTATCGTAACATACTATAACTATTTACTATCGTTATCAGTGATTTTTTTTATGTCGAGTGGTGCTATTATTTTTTGTAAAAGTTTTACCCATTATAGATTTTCACGCATTGGAAAATTTCCAATTTTGCCAATTTAAAAAAATTTCAATTTTGAAAATACCCAATTTTTTGCTGGCTTACTTAAATATTTTTTTTTCAAAAACTTGATTTTTTTACCCCTTTTCAGAGAAGTTGCCAATTTTTTGGGTGTCCACAGGTCACGTTTTCAAAAGTTTAAAAATTGTTTGGGAATCTGATTTATTTGCTCAAAAAAGGAAAATTCAAAAAATTGAATTTTTGTTTTGTTTTTTTTTTCGTAGCTTTGTACTAAGTTAAGTTAAGTCATATAGTTTGATAATGGTAAAAGGACCGGAGTTGGTGAACGAATTGTTCCTTTCTTTTGTTTTAGATAAATATAGTTCATATTTCTCATTGTAAAATTATGAGTGTTTAAAACAAATCTCAAACAATAGAAATGGTATTATATTCAAAATAATTCTCCTTTCGTAAACGCTATTGTATGGCTATTGTGATGTTGGTAAAATATTACCAATTATTTGTTTATATTTGCTACAACCTCTACAATGACCAAAGCAAAATATTAATGCAAAAATGTCTTTTTTTGTTATTTTTTTAACAGCAATCACAACCTATAATAGCCACATAAGCTGTTCTGCTGATTTTGACTAGTCTGTATGACAAATGGCAACCCAAACAGTTGTGACATCTCTGTATGATATATTATTATAATTTCTGTAATAGGGTAAATATTTTTATTGCTACCTGACGTCAGGCTGCTCGAAATGGGTATCAAACCCGGGACCTCTGAATCAAGTCTTGTCGCTCTTAACCGCTTACCTACGAACAAACCCCGCAAAAATATCTTGTACTATAAAATAGTTATTGAATTTAGATAATTCATATTGATTTGCTTATTTTGCTTATTTTGGTAAGAAATTAGCTTACTTTTGCTGACAAAGGGGAGGGGGGGGGAAATAATTGTAATAAATCTGCTTACGTAATACTTGAACGATCCCTATGCATAAAATTTCCGCGTCACAATGTTCGTTCCCGTACTTCTCCGAATCGGTTTTACCGATTTTTACCAAATTTTATATTCATATTCAGAAGGTCTGAGAATCGGCTACTATCAATTTTTCATACCCCTAAGTGATAAGAGTTGTTCACCCTTCGATGCTTTGTTTAGACGATTTTTTGTTTTTTTTTTAAAATGTGGCATTAAATATACATACAACTCTGAATTTTTAACTTTTTATCACCAATCCCTATTTTTTATAGCCATTTTGTTAATTCGGACATTTTTTATCGCGTGTGACCTGCTCAAGTCTTTACCGCCAAAGCGTCACAAAACAGAATCTGCAATGATTTACTACAACAAAACACATAATATCTAAGAAGGTGCTATCGCAGAATAGCGATCCTTCTCACGCTGTCAAATAAATATATCTGTAAAATAGCTGAATGTACTTGTGTATAGTTTGCTAAGTACAATAAAACAAAAACAAATATATTTTTATCCCGCGTTCAGTTATTGAATATTTTTACATAATATTAGTTCAGTTTTTTTAAATAAAAATAGTTTTTACTTTAAAAATCAATTTATTTTTATTGGTTCAACCGTAAATTTTTTTTAAATGATGGGGTCAATTTCTTTTTACTTCAAAATACTATTTGTTTTTATCAAAAGTTGTCTATCCCTAACATTTTTTTCCAAGGGTCCAATTTTATTTATTTTAATGTTCTATATTTTCAAAGTTAATACATGAAACTTTTTTTACTTCAAAAAACTATTTTTGTTTTTAAATCTTGGAATCAATTTTCTTTTAATTTTAATAATTATAAGGCGGAATTAAAATATTTCACAATAGCCATTTTAGTAATCGAATAATTCTTCATCACGCTTTACGTCAGTTAGTGTTTTTTTTACTGAATTTTAATTCATATTTTCCTCACCTTATAATAAAGAACAAATTTTACTTAAAAAAAAAACAATTTATATAAAGTTGTCCACCTCTCCCATTTTCCCATTGTACAAATATTTCTTTTTGCGCACAAACTGTACATAGTTTATAAATGGTTTGCATAAAGAGTATTTTTGCAAAAATAAAAAAGATTTGATGTTAAAAGCTGAAAATACAAAAGTTTTTGATAGGAAATTAGGTACCTTGCAAAGGGTATGGACGTGTTTCCATAATTAAAGATCCGATACCTTATCAAGATAGTTTATAACTAAGCTTGCACCCAATATTCGTTTACTATTCGGTATTCGGCATATTCGACACCTTTTTTACTATTCGGCCGAATACCGAATAGTTAAAATCAAAGGCGCCTCCGCCGCTCAGCGACAGCATTGTTGGTATTTTATTTTATATGCGATAAAGAGCTCGTGGTGGATCTGTATTTGGAAGTGTTTAGTTTATGTAATTTGATAATGATATGAATAAATGATTTTGTTATTGTATATATAATAATTTAAACTTTATCGATGACATCTTGTGACATCGATGGACACGCAAAAAACTTTTTTCTGAATATTCACAAGATGCTTTATTGTTACATATTTATATTATTTAATATGAATCATTTAATGGTTACACGCATATGTTGTATCAATACAATAAGGCCATTCATCTAAGCATTTCCAAATAAAAGAGCTATTATTGGCACTTTATCGCAAAATATACAAACAATATTTTTAATCATTTTTTATTTATTTTATTATGATTAGCATTCCTAATATATGAGAAATAATATTGAATTTATGAAAGAAATAATTGGAAATACATTTACATATATGTAAAGAATCGTTTTTTTCTTGATTTTGCTATTTATTTTCCTATCACATATTGTATTCGAGTATTCGGTATTCGGCCGAATATTATAAATGGTGCCAAATATTCCAAATAACTAGGAGTAGCCGAATAGTGGTGCAAGCCTAGGCATAAAACTTGTATAAACATGTAGCGTTAGTAATAAAACAATTACTGATAGTAAATCTTTATTTTGTTGATTGTGACTATTTATGAAATAAAACATTCTGGCGCAAATGTTACTTTATAAAACCGTTTCATTTTAATATAACAGGAACATCAATATCTATCAATCAGATTCTATTTATTGTAACACGATATGAAGTCCTTTGGAAAGCAATAATCAGTTTAATGACGAGTTGAGATAATACTTTGTCATTTGTTTATATAATAGAACCACCTAAAGATATATCTGTTCAAGCGATTACGAAAATTAAAGATCAATTTGTTCCGAGAAATTTAATCTCGAGTGTAATATGTACCAACTAGTGCCGGTAATTTTAAGGTAATTTTAAGGTAATTTTAAAGTAATTTTAAGGTAAATACCGCTACTAATACCGCCAAAAAATTAGGCGGTATACCAGTTTTTCGGTATATCGGTATTGCATTTTCTAATTTAGACATTCTAAATACTACCAAAATATTTGTTGATGTTTTATGACGAAATAGGTGCAAAGATATAAAGAGAAAAAAAAATTCTAATCCAAAAAGATATTCAAGTACAAAAAATATATTTCAAACAAAAGGTAAGTAAAATTAGTAACCGAAATTCGAATCTGGATAGTCCAATGAAATTTTTTAAGTTTGATATAATAAATGTATTTCAAAAATTTATATTATGTTAATAATAAAAATAAAATGTCTTACAGGAGGTACTGCATATTCTAAGCCAAATTGCAATGGGTGTCCAATACATTCATAGTAAGGGAATTTTACATCGGGACTTGAAATGTGAAAATATATTTTATCAGCGGGTCTAGTGGTGAAGATTGGAGATTTTGGCATATCAAAAATATTATTGAAGTGATTATTGCGATTTTATAATTTTTCAATTTTTGAGCTAAAAGTCTTCTTTTTTCTTCAAAAAGATATTTATTCACTTTTCAATTATATTATTCAGTGCTTTGGGGATATGGGTAATTATTTTAAAATTAAATGAATTCACTTTTTACTTTTATAACTAAACATTTTTCAAATCATGCGCTCAACAATTCAATTCATTTTCTTGACCGATTCTTCATTTTATTTTTAGAATTAGTAAAGAAAATGTGTTGAAAACTCTTGTATTAGAAACTACTCACTGGGGTGAATATATATTTTCTCGATGTATTTTTAAACTTAGTTTTTGGTGTATTTTGATTACAGTTGAGTGGTTGATTTGAAAAATGTTTAGTTACAAAGGTAAAAAATGAATTACTTCAGTTCCCGAAGAAGAGCCATCCCTATCGTCGAAACTTCGAATAAAATAATGGAACAATTAATTATACTTTTTTTTGAAGAAAGATAAAGGCTTTTAGTTGAATATTTAATTACAGTCATATATATATATATATAGTGTGTGTGAGCCACACTCAAGCTGCTCGAAATAATTTTTTTTTTATTTGTGTTAATTCTGAAGATGTATCGTCATTTGTAGAATATCTATAATCAGTTTGTTTCTTTTAGTCAAAGTAAAGCCTTTAGTGTGATTGGAACACCATATTATCAGTCACCAGAATTGTGTCAGAATAAGCCCTATGGCTACAAAAGTGATATGTGGGCAATTGGCTGCATTTTATATGAAATGTGCACGTTGAGAAAGGCTTTCGATGCAACGGTAATTTGTGTACATATTAATTCAATTAATTAATTTAACTATTGTAAAATAAAAAGTGCCCTGATGGAAAATATCAACTTAGTTGAATACATGCACTTATGTTACATTTTCATTGCAAAATACAGTAAATCACGGGCTCCTAAACTATAATTTCATAATTTACATTTTTAATGTAAATCATGAAATTATTAATCAAGAACAAAGCAAAAAGCTGTTTATTATATTTTTAGTATTATTCATTGATGGGGTGACTAGTCGGTTACTCTTTATTTGGCATAATCAGCACCATTTATACTATCTGGCCGAATTCCGAATACTAAATTAACATGTGGCAGCAAAATAAATCGAAAAATGAAGAATAAAGTTATTCTTTACATATATGTATTTATATTCATTTATAATTACATATTACGAAGATCATAGTGAAGAAAAAAGTTTTTCTGCAATTTTTGGGAAGTAATTTACTTCTCTTTTTCGTAGATCATTCCAGTTTCTTATAAAAAGGAGTTTTGAATAAATAATACTTCCGAGCGCCGATAAATATTTTGCTGCAATATTGCAGTTATAGAAATTTCTTGAAAGTTTGCACCCTTTGTTTGATCTTTTTTATTTATTTTTTTTGTCCAGCAAAACTTTATTTAAAGTTTTATAATACGCACTTGTTTGATCATGACGTGATATATTACTCTTATTGGTTCGTTCTTATTTTCTGCTATAAAGAGCTTTTGATAGCTATTTTTTATTCAAAAATGCATGGATTGAATATAATAAAGGCAATTGTATATATATATATATATATATATATATATATATATATATATATAAATACATACAACCCATGCGTGTAACCGTCGAATGATTCCTTCTATTAAATTACATAAACACATAATAATAAGGAACCGTATGAATATACAGAAAAGAGTTCTTTGCGTGTTCATTTATAATCTCGATAAGTCGATAAAGTTCAAATTAATGTAATATAAAGAATAAAGAAATCATTTCTTCATATCATGTAAACTAAAGCCTTTCAAACATACAGATCCATCACAATCTCTTTATGCTTTTCAAAATTTAAAAATATTTGTAAAAGCATTTCTTCACACCGTCAACACAAGCAAAATGTTTTTCAAATCAGATGATCCGTTTTCTCAAAAACTGCATTACCATTTTTTGCGCTCCTTACCTCCGAAACGTTTTGCGGTCAGTAAGAACCGAATGTTTTTTTAAATAATTTAAATCGATTGTTCCATACTGTCAAAAATGTCGAGGGCACACGTTTGAACTATATAATTGAACTTCAAACATTCAAAAGTCAATTTTCTATTTTGTTCATAGAAGTAAGATGTTTTTTGAATCATTCAAATTAGACACTCATTCTTTCAAAAAGCTGAACTTGCAGGCTTGCAACGAACAGTATATTCGGCATTTTGCCGAATATTCGGCATGCTCCAGAGACCGAATACCGAATAATAAGCAACTATTTGGCAGGTTTTTGTTGTCTAAGCCCGTTTGTATTAATGTAATTACTATCAGTAATTGTTATATTACTAACGCGCTACATTGTTTATTCAAGTTTTATGTTTAGGCTTGCAACTACTATTCGGTTACTCTTTGTTATTTAGAATATTTGGCACCATTTATACAATTCGGCCAATACCAATATACTTGAATACCACATGTGATAGGGAAATATATGGTAAAATCATGTAAAAAGCGATTCTAATATTTTCTTTCATAAACATTTAATGTTTTCTTTTATAAACTCAATATTATTTCTTATATGTTAGGAATGCTAATCATAATAAAATAAGTAAAAAATAATCAAAAATATTGTTTAATAGCTCTTTCTATGGAAATGCTTAGATCAAGTATAATGAATGACTTTATTGTATTGATACTACACATGCGTGTAACCATTGAATGATTTTTTTTAAATGGTAAAAGCATGTAACAATAAAGTTTTTTGTGAATATTCAGAAAAAAGTTCTTCATTTTTAATCTCAAATATCGATAAAATTTAAATTATTATATTTACAACGATCAATTCTTCGCATCATATTATGTAAACTAAACGCTTCTAAATACAGATCCATCGCCAACACCAACAACGCAGCCGCTGAGCGGCGACGGCGCCTTCGATTTTAACTATTCGGTATTTGGCCGAATAGTAAGTTACTATTCGGTATTCGGCCGAATATTATAAAATGTGCCGAATATGCTCAATACCGAATAGTAATTGAATATTCGGTGCAAGCCTACCAAAAACTAATCAGCACGTCTACCCATCGATTGAAATCGAATGTTTTTTTTTAATCATTCAAATCAATTGAACTTTATTTTCGAAATCGTCGACAAAAGATTGCATCCGCACATACATACACACACGTACATCAATTTTGCCTAAGGAAGGTATGCCAAAATGTTCAGATGGCTTTGAAACGTAAAGATATATAACCATTTTCTTCTTCGATTTTCTTGCGATTACTATATCTTACCCTACGGGGGTTGACAATCTAATTTATTTAATTACAAATTATTCATTTCTGTGCTACACTCTTTATATATTTGTTAGTGTTGCTGTCTTACTCTTATGAATATGAATATGAATATGAACGGTTTCTAGGTAGAATATACAATATAAGAAATCATATTGTTTTGTTTGTATATTACGTTTTATAAACCATTGATAACAAATTAGATATGTCTGATTCGCGTGGACACATAAACATTTTTGTAAACGAGACCTATTCATTGGGTATCAGACGTGAAATATAAACAATTAAAACAATTGCTTCATATTACCGACACCGTCGCTTGTCGATCGTGCCATACTTGGCTCGGTATGTGTAATACATAATGCATAATATAAATTTTTAACATAATACCTGTAATATCAGAATACTGGTATTCTCATATCGGGATCCTGGTATTTGGGTTCCAGGGATCGTGTTTCCTTAAAATAATCACAGAAGTGTCAGCACGTTAGCTCTTAGTATCTGTCTTCTGAATGCCATTAAAAACGAAAAAAGTATTCTATACTAATTGCTAAACTTATTTGAATTGATAAATAGTTTTCTTCTTTTTTCGTCTATTTCGACTTGCTAGTCGTATCGCCAGTATCGATTTGCTACAATCTTTTCGTTTATGTTTAGCATAATTGATTTATATGAAATTCTCAATACTATAGTTTTGAAGTGATAAAATAACTATAAATACAAATGTATAGAACATATAAACAAAAGTATGATGTACAATTCAGCTTAGATCATTCTTCACTTTTTATCATCATTTTTTAAATTTCAGACACTGGCTGGTCTTGTAATGAAAATAATGGAAGCAAAAATAACTCCTATTGATCCCGGTACATACAGCACACCTTTATGGAATATTATTCAGGGTTTGTTGTGTTTTGATCCAGATTTGAGACCAAGTGCTGTCCAATTGTTATGTCATCCCTTAATTGCGCAACTTGTTTTCAAGGCGTATTCCCATTCTTTCCAAGACCTACAAGGGTGTTTTCATAGTTGAACTATTGATATATATATATATATATATATATATATATATATATTATAATTTATTTGATAATATGGTTAATTTATTTACAATTAATTTTAGTTATTAAATGTCGATTTTTAGTAATTTTAACTTAATTAACTTAAGGTGAGTTTTAAACTCATTATTAGTCTCGATATTGTAATAGTGGTTGAAAATTAAAAAAAAATGTATTGATTTATTAATATAATCATAATAAAATAAATATTCATAATTAAATTGTAAATATATCAATAAATGTTATCGTTAATTAGTTCATTTCTTGTACTACTAAATACATTTGGGTGGTCACATATAGTAAACTAAATCATTTAAAAATAATTCGTGGCTGATCTGTCAAGATTATGACTGGGCCGAATAAATGTATTTTCAATGGCTTTATTACTCAAATACTGTATTTGAGTTACATACATCACAATAGCTTATAAAATTGTAACTCGTTCTGATTGCTATTTAGAAAGTTAATAAAAAAAATTGCTTTATTCATCAAATATTTACTCCTTTGCTCAGTTTGGTTCATAAACTATAGGTCAGTTTTTACGTTTAGTTTATTTATAGTTTCTTAATTTAAATCAAATATTGTTGTCCATTGTTAATATTCTGATTTTGGTAGATATTTTGTTTAAATATTTAAAACATTTAACAATGTAATCACATTTGAGATTTAGTATTAATAACAAAAAAAAACTTTTTAAATATATGTACAGACATGTCAATTCATTCTAGAATTTAGTTATACTTTTGCATCATCATTTAATGTAACATTGTTGTCACTTTGATAATTTCTTAGAAAATCTGACCCGTTAATTTTATGCTTTCTCAACGTTTCAAGTCATTCTGCGCCGTTTGAGACCAAAATAGTGAAAAATCATGGTTGTGTTTGAATGCGAGCTAAAATTTGGTCTATTGTCAAAGTTTTCTCAAAAACAGTTACACAAATCCAGAACAGGAGACATTCGATGATACTCTATAAGGACCGGCTCAGATCAGTAACCTAATGATTCATGAAAAGCAACCCATCGGTTTACCATTCTCCTATGTGTTGCGTTGCAGTTATTTCCAATTATATTGAAATCTACAACCTCAAGTGAAAATTGGACATCAAAGCCGCCTGATGCCGGGCTTTGGTCGTGCCGGAGTCGAACCAGCAAACCGGAGAATAGTTGGTGCTAGTCACATCGATGATCACACCACTTGGCCCAGAATTAGGAAATAAGTGCAAATTTGTTTCGTCTGCGTTTTCCCAAAAAATTCCGAAACTATTTTGAAAATTTGAAAACTGTTCAAAATATATCACCTATGGATTGTGTTAATTAGATTTTGCCATAGAACGGCCGTGCCACTTCTTTGTAATAATAGTATGTTAAAAAAAAAAAATGTTTTTTTGTATTTTAATGAAACTGTTTGTATAAACGAAACGAATGTTAAAGTCCTAAAAACAGTAGTTGAATTCTAAAATCTGTGTGTGTATGTATGGCCGGTCTTGGGGTCCTTAGCGCCCGCATGCAACTTTTTTTTGGCGCCCTGCCCCCTCATTAATTTTACATGTTTTAACACTTTATAATTTAAATTATATAAATACTCACATATTTTTTAAAAATTAATTTTTAATTATTCTGGATTTAGTACGCAAAAAATTAGGTATAATATAAAAGCGTATAAAATACATTGATTTTAAATTTATTTAGAAAATCGAAGCAATTCGCGGGTTGATTATAATTTTTAACGTAATATTTAGGTTTTAAAACATTTTATTTAGTTATTATGCCATTTATTCTATTGAGCAAATTATGCTAAGAGGGGCTAAAAAAACTAGAACTCATAACACTCGTATTTCATGTTGGATTTTTTAAATTTCAATTTAATTTAATTTTTCATTATTTACAATATTCAAAATTGCTTCGTAAACTTCTCCTCATTGATATCGTAAGAGCCGAATTGTATTCATCCTTGCTCCCCCGTCATATTCAGAGTATCAGTCTGTTGTTTTAAAGTCAAATTTTTAACGTATTTTTAAAGTATTGTCCAAAAATCAGTAAAAAATGCAAAGAAATTTCACATTTCTTGAACTATATTGAAAAAGTAACTAATAATATTTGATATGTATTATTTCGCATAGTTAAATTAAATATGGAGTATGAAGCAAAGCAAATTTTGCTTCCATTTTTCATATTTGTTCCATTTCCATAACCCTAACCACGCATATCTTCAACATTCAATTCAGTTCATCAGATGCGAAACATTTGGAACAAAAACAAAAGTTACAGTTCAATTTCTTGGAATAAACATGCCATTTTCTAAGCACTGACTCCCCATTTTTCATTTTACTTATTATAATTTGTTTATAGTTTTTAACAAGTTCTGTTTCAACTAAATCAGCTTGCAATTTTTCGTCAATAATGTCCAATAAATAATTTAATATTTATATTATATATTTATTAATTATTTAATATTTATTTTATATATATTAATACTAGATAATTTCAAATAAAGAAAAAATAGAATAAGTAGAATAATCAATATACAGAGCTGTTATTTACTAATTTGCAGAGTTATTAATCGGTTAATTTTTTGTGTCTGCGTATCCCTAGTTAACTTAGATTGTTTATCATAATTTATTAAGTGTTCTAAATTTTATATAAATAATATATTATAAATTAAATTTCCGAAACACGTTTTGGCGCCCCCTAAGACGTGCGCCCGCATTTTTTGCATGCATCGCATGCAAGACAGGACCGGCCCTTGTGTATGCATGGAGACAATTTATCGTCGACGATTTCGGGTGCACGGATTAACCGATTTGAATGGTTCAAAAAAACATTCGATTCCTATTGATGAGAAGACGTGCTAATTAGTTTTTGACGTCAGGTTCAGCAGCTTCGGAGATATGGAGCAAAAAGTGCTAAAAATGTCAGTTTTAAGAAAGCGGATCAACCGATTTAAATAATTAAAAAAACATTCGATTTACATTGACGGGGAGATGTGCTGGTTAGTTTTTGGCGAAAGCAGGTCCAGTCGTTTAGGAGATGCGGAGCAAAGGTGCTAAAATTTCAGTTTTTGAAAAAAACGCAGCATCCGATTAGAATGATACAAAAAACATTTTGCTTGTATTGTGAGTATAAAGACATTTATTTATTTGGAAAAGCAAAAAAAACTGTAATTTAAAAAAAAAACAAATATCGGATTTTAAAATTTTCAAAATTTTGAAAGAAATTGAAAATTACCAAAAAAATAAATTTGAAATTATTTAAAACAATTATTGAATATTCATTACTTGAATGTTTAATTACGATACGGGAAGTTCCAGCAATTTGCCTAAGGCACGATGCCATGCACCACTCGTGGAATTTTATGTGGCATAAATTCAATGATTTCTATGCAGTACATTCGACAGATTGTAGATGGAGCTATCGCCGGCACATCATTTGAAACTGGAAAAGTCGGCGATTTATGTGCTCTTTGAGTAACATCACTCTTTGTCGAAATTTAATTCGATGATGGCGTTGTGTGTATTTTCTTGTGTAGATTTTTATATTACTCTGTCAATAAAATAAGAATTGAACAAAAAGTAAAGGGTTAATTTAACTTTAATAATTATTTTAAAGTATATATTTATGAAATTTCTAGATACCCATTCTGTTAAGTGATTGTAAATATGATGAAATGAAGTGCTGTTGGAACAGACTCTGATAATGTGAACTAATGTGTATTAAATAATTGAGTTTAATATATTTACTCTAATATTTATCAACGCTGTTTAAAGGTATTTATTCATATTTTTTATTTGTTATTCAATTTCAATATAATTTTGTAAGCACATTTTTTATCATTAGCGATGTTTGTATAATTGACAAATACTATGCGTCTATTTGCATACTTAATAAACCTCTCTGAATATTTGAAATCTAATCATCATCACAACTAAAATCCTCATATTAATTAATAAATATCCGCAATCGCATTTGTTTTTTGTTTTTGAATGGCGGTATAATTTGTAAACAAGTCATTTTTTTAAATACATATTTATGTTCTGTCATCTTGCTATGTTGCGGCAAATTTATCTCGTTTTAATATTATTTCAATATCTGTGTGCATATTATATGTAAGTACTTTACCTTTTTTTTTTCGAAAGGTTGCAAAATTATCTAAAGATTATCAATTTTATACATATTAGAATATGATATAGAATAAACATTTCTCCCGCTTTAAGCTATTTTTAAATAGATTGTGTCAATATTATTTTATATTGAAAAATAAATGAGTTACATATTTATTTAAAAAAGAAAAACTCATTTCATTTGCATTTATTTATTTTGAACAAATTTTCTATGAATAATTTTTTTTATTGCAGGTTTCATTGTTTTTACACAATTTGAAAATGAGTTCTACAGTCAAGTTAGGTGGTACCACCACCGGTACACTAGCTTCCACGATCGACACAACCAGTAATTCAAAAACATCCATTAATCATGGGTTAAATTTGGCTTCGCATTTAAATTCTCAACATTTACTACCAAGTAGTGTCCAAGAAGTTTTGATAAATTCTAATTCAGCAGGTCACACAATTGCAGCTCCTCTAAATTCAAATGCTTGCCCAGTTGTTAAGCCAACTATAGATAGCAAAATTGTAGGTGATAAAGCACCTGTTGATAATAATATTGGCATGGAAAACATAAATATTGAGCCCAAGACAAATATAGAAAATAAAATTAATGCCGATAATAAGGTTATGGATGAAAGTAAACAAATTTTATCTGAACTTGCTACAAATTGCACTGTAGAAAAACCACAACCTGTTGTTGAAACAAAATCACAAGTTGTAGATGAGAAAAAACTGGTGCCTAGCATCGCAAAAGTTAACAACTCAGTTAAAATTGATGGGGTAAATGCCGATGGGGAAAATAAAATTGATGAGCCAGCTAGTTTAATAAAGAATAATGTAAACAATGATCCGGTCATTACAACGAATCAAACTAAAGCAGAAGTTGACACTGATTCTAGTACTAAAGTCCCCGAGGCTGAAAATAAAGTATCCGTAGAACCAATTAGTGTAAAAACCAAAGAACCAGAAAGTCCAAAATCACCTACCACAGTTAATCCTAATAACAATGTTACTTCTACAGTCTCATCTCCAGTTAGTATAAGTACAGAGGTTACTACTACTCAAATTACATCGACTCCTCCTGCAGAGAATAGATTTATTGCAAAACCAGCAAGCACTATGAAGTTAGCTACCGTTTCTAGAACTCACATTAAGAGGAAAAGAGATTTGAAAATGAGTGTTAATAGTACACAGGATTCATTGGAAGGTAGTGATACTGAAGTTTCCGAAGAGAGTCCACAAAAATCCAAACGAGCACGTGTTAAAACACAACCATATCAAAGTCCTTTACCTGAATTTGCTTTGATTACTAAGCTTTCAGCAAGTATGGCTAAATCTAAAACGAGTGATGACAAGCTAATCATATTTTACAAGTTAGTTATTACCAATTTATTTTGAATTTTAAATTTGTTTGTATTATATTGAGCTCTCGTATATATTCATTAGTATTCAAATGTGATAATTTATCTCGAATAAAATTATTATATACATTGCATAAATATTTGTGTACTTTGCAGATAATTTATTTTGGAAACAAAATGATTGTTAATTTTTTTCAGGAATGAATTTTTGGCAGTTCGCAATTCAGAAGGTGGATTTTTTATTTGCCAAGCTATGCAAAATGTCTACAAATCTTCACCTAAAATTCGCATTCTTTGGTTGTCTCAAGACGAAAATGATTCTACAGGAGAAACATATTCACCAGATTTTTATGACTTTATAGGTAATTATTTATTTTTCCATTTGTTGTGAAAGATATTTATGTTTTTGTAATATTTTACTTTTTTATAATTTCACAGCCTATGATTTTCAACCAATTTTTTATATAGTTGATTTTTGATAGTATGCTAAAGTGTTGCATGTTTTGAACTAATTGAAAGTGTTGTGTAACATAAAAGTAAAGTAGTTAGTGAAGTAAGTTAAGTAGTAAAATAAGTAAGTTGTAATTTGGCACTTATATTTTGTTATATTGTTTTGTTGCAGATTTTGATTGCATTTTAACAAATTTGAACCTAAATAGAATGGATAAACGTTTGTATAAATTGCCTCCTGCAGAATTAGAGCGCACCAAAAGTATTCTACAGCGTGCTCTTAATGTGGAACAAGGAATTTGTTCTAATTTAGATATTACTGAAGAACACCCTGATGGACGTAAGTATAAATATTTAAAAGAAACCGATTGATAGAAAGAATTTTTGCTATTAAGATTTAGAATTTGTTTTTGATATATTTTTAAACAGTTATTATGAACATGTAACAGTTATGAAGTAATATTTTTTTTATTTTTAATTTATATTGAGAAATTTAAAACATTTCCATATAACAAGTAAAACTTATAAGTTTTAATAATAATCTTAGCTTCATAAGTAAAACAAAGTGTGCTAATAGTTTGCAAAACTTAACTTATAAAATTTCATATTGATTTCATTTTATCTTTTTATTCTTTTGTTTGTCTTAATTTCTTGTTTCTAAACTAGTTTGTAATTTTAGTCCTAATGCCAAAAATTAAATTTAAAAGAAAAATGACATATATTCCTGAAACAATTTGGAGAGTTAATATGGGTGTAAATACATTCTGCCTATTATTACAAAATGTAGAACTTTTTTAATTAAGGTTTAGTGTACACCCAACTAAATAACACCCATTATAAATTTATCTTTATGTTTTTATAAGTAGGTTTTTATTTTCTGTAAATGAACTGCATTCATTTTATTGGCTTCATTATTCCAATTATTTGTATAATAATTTTTTAAATTTTTAGTTGATTTGTCATTGTATCGCGATGAAGCTCAGCTTGATAATAAAAAGAAAAAAGCAGCTAAGGCAAAGAGGAAAGCTGAATTGCTTGAAGCAAAGTTGGCTAAAAAACATTTACATGCAATCAATAAAAAATCTAAAAAAATTAAGAAATCCCACAAGAAAAGAAAAGTAAATAGTGCTGCTATAGTTAAGGCGACAAAATCTAAAATTGCTTCTAAACGTGCCTCACCTAATAAAAAGGTAAAAGTACATTCATTTATAGAAATTTATTATATACAAAGTATATTATTTTTCCACAAACTAAAACTATCTGATATGCTTATCATAATTAAATTGTTATTAGATTAAAAAGTTTTGACTTTCTTCTATTTTAATAAAAATCTTAATTTTTGTAGTTCTATCATACAATAAATGCATTTTGAATTTATTCAACCAATTTTAGGAAAGCTATGCGCCAGTGAAGTCGGTAGCATCCAGCAGCCGCAGTCGCACAGCTGCTATAGTACCTGTTGCATCGACATCTAAAGCAAAAAATAGTACATCAAAGAGAAAAGCACAAGAATCTACTAGAGCTGCTGCAACACAAAGCGCAAAAGTTCGGTCTTCAGGCAGGAGTAAGTAATCATAACTCCAATTTTAATAAAAATGTTTTTATGCTTTAATGTCAAACTATAGAGCATATTTTATTATGCTCTTGAAGTTAACTTTTGAACTTATATCAAGGCAATGACTGGATTTTTGTTAATACCATTGTCCTTATGTGTTTATTCAGATGCAACTGTGCCAGTGGCAACAACAAGCCGATCCACTCGTACTGCAAAATTGACAAAGGATAAGCGTGGTCAAAAGTAAGTTATTAGTAATAAGTAGTTTTTAAGCAGATATTTTACATTCACATGTTCTATGTTGAAACAAATTCGTGTGTACATCTAAAAAATTGTGCATGTATGTTATACTAAATGTGTGACTAAGCTCATAGGCAAATTTATATCAACAAGGATAACTGTTGTAACTATAGATACATTTTGAATGTGAAAAATCATTTTATAGGATAATGCACATGTATTTTTAATTACACATGAGTCTTTTTTTGACTGATCAAATAGGTTTTAAATTTGATGTTTTATGTTTTGGTTATTTTAAAGTTATTTTATTATCATATTAAATTCATTTTTTTACTAGTTTATCTAAATTATAGATAAGCATATCATTCATACGCGCATATTAAGGTCAATATTTAGCATTTGAAAATAATTCTCAGTTTTATTCATTGTCACTCCAGAATTTGTACTTATCAGACTACATATAATTATAAATCAATTTCAATGAGTTTTAAAATTGGATGCATATTATATTATTACAAAATATGATTTCTTTGCTAGAAACATTCCCATAAGTATTTTTATATGTAGACATATATAGTTGGTTGTACTTATATTGTGTGAGTGATTTCATATTATAATGAAGTTAAATATAATTATTGAATTAGATAGTTGAAAAAGAATGAAATAGTTATTTTTGGCATGGACGTTTCATAATGTCGCTGATGTGAAAAATAACATAGGCCCACAAAATAAAAAAAAGTTGTCTGTATTGGGTATGCAACATACATTCTCCAATGTATTTTTAACCGCTGAATATGAATCTAAAGTTAAAATTGGGTAAAATTTCTAAATCGGGGATTTTGTCTTTTCAAATTACTCTCCATTTTTTGCAATTTAACCCCCAACTTTAACTTTAAATTTGTGTACAGTGTAAAAAATACCATGTGACACATATATCGCCCACCCAATGCATATGATTTTTTTTATTTTATGGACCTGTGCAATCATTGTCTTGTATTTTTCTTTATAATACAATGTGAAGTAATTTTAAAAATATGATATTGTTCGAGTTTTAATTATATATTTTAATGAAATTTTGACACGCTTGATTATCGATTGTGCTGCTGTTAATAACCTAAAAATAGCCAAAACCTAGCTCATTAGTTGTAACACCTATTTGATTCACCATAGGAGTGACTCACACATGTATTATGTAATTTTTTTTTTAAAGAATGAAATTTATACAAAGCAGTGAATATGTAAATGGTGTTGTAAAAGCAAGGGATAATCTTATTGTACCCAAAGTGTTTGGTCCATATTTTTAAATATAAAAAATATTTTATCTTCGAGACCAAGAATTTTGTTTAAACTGGTATAGTAACTTTTGCATACAATTTTTGTACTATTTGTATCATTTTAAGTTTCCCTTGTTTTACTGGCACTAATAGGTTATTAAAAATCTAATACAAATGAAACTGGATAGTAAGTGAATATATTTGTATGTATGTATATATTTATAAATATATACATGATGTAATTTGAAAATTAAATATATATAGAATTTATTTACTTTGGGTAGTGGAGTTAATCTCAACGAATACAAATATTCATATGTATTTATAGGTTTAATTTTTCTTTCATTTGATCTTTTCATATGGCAATGTTAATTATAATGAAATTCTATTTAATTAATTATCTATCTAAGCGTGGTAAACATAATTATATTTTAACTAACAACATTGTATAAGATACTAAATATTTTGTGTGTACACATTTGGAAAATTGCAAAGTTTCAATAACTTAGCGCTTTCATTTGTTTTGTAGATATGCTATTTACATATTATTTTAATATCAAATTTTGAGCCTTATTGCTAAATAGCAAATCGAACTTAGTTATAATGTATCTTATTAAAATGTTGTTTGCACAAAGTGCTTAGAAAATGTTATTGTTTCCCAATGCTCTGAGATTACTATGAATTTGTGTTATTGCCAATATGAAGATATAACTAAAATTTCTACTACCCTTTTGGCTTTTGGAAAATATTATTAAATAATGACGAAAATGAAGTATTTGAAAATGTAACTCATCAATATTTGTATTGAGATCTGATTTCAACTGTTTACTTTTTCTTCGTTTTAACCTGATAACTGTTGTGTATTTGTACAATGCAAAAATGTATCCTGTTTTCATCAAAATAATATAATTAGATATACAATCGTCATTCTCAATTTTTGTCGTTAATTTCATTAAAATAGTATCGTTAGATTATCTAAGGTATACTGTAATACACCGCCTTACGAGCTTAATTCGTGCATGCACTTAATGTGTTTTGCTCGTACATCCTCGTCAAGCCTACTACTCACACACTTTGGTCATATTTTTCAAAGATTTCATCTGACGAACAAGAATAATGGAACAATTAATATTTAACTATAAATAATTGACTCTAAATATTTGTATGCGACTTTACATACGAAAATCCTTGTTAATAATGATATTAAATAAATCTGCTTCTTTCGCACTAGTATAAGTTTACATTACACGTCTCACTCGCACGTTCTCGAATACACTAGGAACGATTCGTTGCTTTGTGATAATAGCGTCATCGCTTCTCTGGCGGCTCGTATCACGTAACAATTAGGTTATTGATTTATCAATTTATGTATTTAAAATATTTTTAACAAAAAAACAGTTTTAATTTTTATAAAAACAAAAATTTGATAATTTCTCGATTCTGATTGAAAGTTTGTGTTTTCGTTTCTCTTCTTTTGAATACCAAGGCTTAAATTTAGAAAACATGGTCATCGCAAAAGAGAAAACCCTAAGTAACATGTAGAGGCTTTTATTTGCTATACATGCACATTTTTGAAAAGGAAACGAAATTATCAACAACTGTCGGACTATAGGACACACTGGTCTGTTGGGTGCCGGACTAAAAAGGACTTTTACTGCATATATAATGATAAAAGTGAACTACATCGATTTTGCAAAAATAATTTGATATACAAATCACTTACAATTAGTTCTACTAATATTAGTAATTTTTATTAATCATGTTTGGATATCAAAGTATTAATTTCAAAAGTGAATAATACGTTAATTTAGCTCAGTAATACCGTCACCTATAATTTTACACTTGTAATACAAATTACAAAGTGAAACATAAGTAAGCTCATATCAATATCAGTTTGGCATGCTTAAAAAGTCTCAATGCCATTCTCTTAGCTTATATAAGATTATAATGTACGGAAAGAGACATAGAGATTTTAATTAAATCTGTTTTTTTATTTCAAAAATTTAATGTTTAAGTTTCAATCTTATAATATAAACACAATTAATTTTACATTCATGATTTAATTTCTTAATAATTACATATAATTATACAAAATCCAATGGCCATTTATGAAAATTGACAAAAATAAGGAAGAAGTCATGTTGTCTATCATCGAATTGTTTTCGAAGAATCATATTTCTATTAAATTAAATAGAAAATAAATAATGAGGAATTATTCTAGAATCACAGGCAAATTTCTAGATTGAAAAATGTTATTATTAATACTACTAAGTACAAAATTAGAACATGGGATTTTTTATGGCTCTAATTAGCATACCACATCTATGGCCTTTTGAAAGCATCTGGTAAGAAGAACTTTAGAACTTGAAATAATATTATTAATGATAGTGTTGCAGCTCATCACCAACTGAAATAAGTAACACCATAAAAATATAAACATAAATATCAAGATAGATGGTAATTTATCTTACCATGTGACAAAATCTAAAGGTAAACATCCACCAGCTTCAACGTCGTATCCTAAACCTGCTGGGCATGCATAAAGTGTTGCAGTAAGAGAACTTTCGTCACAAATTGCAACAACTGAGCAATCGGGATCCATGGAACGAACTTCTCCGACATTGCAAGTAGCTAGAACATCATTAATAACAAGTTAAGTGAAAGTTGTTATTTTATAACTTTGAACATTGTTACCTGTTGCGTCTAAAGCGTTGTCGTTAAAATCGTATTCGGGATAGTTAGCATCTAACGATGGGTCTCCATTGTTTGAATAATCCACGCCAGTCTGATAGTTATTGGGCATTTTACTGTCTGAGCAGTCAACATTGTACTCATAATCGCATACTCCCAGCTCCTTCATAATGAGTAAGCAAACTTAATTAAGAAATAAAGTTAGAGAATTTAAAGTTTGATATACGGAAGGTCCAAAATTTTTTGCACACATTATTTTTGTTTCTTAATTGATCCGAAAATATTTTGTTCACTTAAGCTTTCAGTTGAATATTTATGTCATGACAGCCGTTTTTCAAATTGTAGAATTCTTAATGAAAAAATATGGCACGAAAGCAATTTTTTATGCAGAGTGCACACTTTTGGAGAATAAAAAGAGCAGTTTTAATCAAAATTTTTATGCACCAGTAGGGCATTACTAAAATTCAAAAAAAAAAGTTCTTAATATAATTTACAACTAATATTACCTGATTATAATATAGATACGGAGGACAATTGAATTGAAATTTGATTCCATTAGCACAGACATAAAATTTGGAACAGTCTTCCGGGTCTCTGTAGCTTTGCCGAGCTTCACTTGACTGATCGCAATTCATATCTGCAAGTTCTTTTAAAATACATCCATTTATGTTAGCTTTGATTTAGTTAAAAACTAAAAAGTTTGATATTATCCTATCATTATAGATAAAATCAACACTATTTATCCATGGCATGATATCTACTACTATCAAATGTCGCATTGTATACATTACAAAATATGAGGAAAGATCACAGTTATTTAATAGCAGTGAATTTGTGTATGAGATCAGAAGAAACGGAAATGCTTTACTTGTTTATAATATATATATATATATATATATATATATATATATATATTATTAAATAACCATACCTGAATCTGGTTGCTTTGGCATCTGGTTATCGACTGGTGCTTGTTGATCAGCGCAATCTAAAATTAAAATAATTTAATATCAGTTTTTCAATATTATAAGATCATATTTATAGTATATTTATAAAACCGAAAAATTGTTGGTTTTAAAAGTGAAAATTTATAAGCTAAATAATCGAGTACTTATAACTACATATACTCACTTGGTACATTTTCGGGATAGTCACATACTTTAAGATTTTCATTAAAGACAAGTCCTTGTGGACAATCTTGATACGTTGCTTCTCCATCCCAGCAATTCACAAAACCTGAACATATGTTAGGAATAGCAAACTGGCCTCGAGGAGCTTTGCAATATTGCTGCAAGTCACCAGATGGTATATCTGTTGAGTATAATCAAATACTTGATATGCAATTTTGACTACAAACTACTATTAATTCAAATAAGAAGTATTATCTCACCTGCAGGTTTATTGTCAGGTTTTGGATATATTGGTGGCAATGGTGCAAAGAATGGAGGTGGCGGAAAAAATGGGAACATTGGATAGTTAGGAAAACCTGGTATATTAGGAAACATCATATTTTGTGGTTGTTGATTATTTACTTCATTTGGAGTTTGCGAAGGAATCTGTGGGCAAACGCATTTAGTATCATTAGATGGCTCGTCAAAATTATTTCTATTTTCTATAGATGGCAAATATGTTGCAGAACTAACTGTAGAAGGTGCATCATTTTTGGAAGAGGACATTGATTCAGTTGCAGACTCAGTTGATACACTTTGATTTGTAGATATTTCGTCATCGCTCGAGGATGCTGACGCATCTGTTGTAGTAGATGCGCTAGGTGTCGTAACGTCTTCACTGGAGCTAGTCATTTCTGCTGTAACATCGGATGAAGGCAAAGATGCATTAGTTGTCATATCTTCACTAGAACTAGGAATTACTGTTGTAACATCAGACGATGGCATAGATGCACTAGTTGTAGTGATGTCATCACTGGAACTAGACATTTCTGTAGTAGCATCGGAAGGTGGCATAGATGTACTAGGTGTCGTAATATCATCACTGGTATTAGCCATTTCTGTTGTAATTTCTGAAGATGTGGGTTCATCCGCAGGTGTCGTTTTATCAGTAGACATGGTTGGGTCATTTGCAAGTGTAGTGTCTTTATCGCTTGATGTAGACATTTCTGTTTCAGAGACAATTGTTGGTTCGTCTGTAGACGCTCTGTCAGAAGACATAGTTGTGGGTTCATTTTCGGTCGTTGTGTCGTCATCACCGGAAGTTGGCATTTCAGTTGTACTATCTGGGGATTGCGTGGGTGCAGTTGTAGATGCATCAGGTGTTGTTTCTTTGTCACTGGTAGCCTTTTCTGTTGTAACATCAGAAGTTAGCATGGGCGTGGTTGCAGATTCTTCTGCAAGAGTTGTTTCGGCATTGCTAGAAGTGGTTTCTTCTGTTGTAGCATCAGAAGATTGCAAGGGCGTTGTCGCAGATTCATCTGCAGTTGTTGTTACGTCATCGCTGGAAGTCTCTTTGATTGTTGTAGCATCAGAAGATTCCAAGGGCGTCGTTGTAGATTTATCTGCCGTTGTAGTTTCGTCATCGCTGGACGTATCTTTGACTGATGTAGCATCAGAAGGTAACATAGCTGTAGTTGTAGCCTCAATGGAAGGTGTTGTTTCTTTATCGCTAGAGTTATCTTTGACTGATGTAGCATCAGAAGGTGGCATAACCGTAGTTGTGGGCTCAGCGGCAGGTGTTGTTTCTTCATCGCTGGATGTATCTTTGACTGTTGTAGCATCAGAAGATGGCATAGCCGTAGTTGTAGGCTCATCGGGAGGTGTTGTTTCTTCATCGCTAGAAGTGGCCTTTTCTGTTGTAACATCAGGAGATGTTATAGGCATAGTAGTTGGTTCCTCCGCAGGCGTTGTTTCATCACTAGAAATCTTTTCAGTCGTAACATCAGATGATGGTGCAGGTGTGGTTGCAGATTCATCAGCAGGCGTTGTTTGATCATCGGCAGAAGTAGGCATTTCTGTTGTGACATCAGGCGATGGGCTAGTTGCTTTATCTCCTTCGGGTGTCGTTTTATCATCACTGGATGTAGGTTTTTCCGTTGTAACATCAGACGACGCCATAGGTGCACTAGTAGTAGCTATTGTAGTTGTTGCAGACATATCTCCAGGCGTAGTATTCTCTGCCTTTGTCATATCTGTTTTATCGTTGCTTTCGGTAGTAGGAGCTTGTGTTACTGGCTTAGGTGGAACGGGTTTCGGTCTGGGTTGCCGTGGGCGCGGATTCGGTCGACGTCGTGGAAATCCTTGTTGAGGATAGTATGGCGGAGGGTAATAAGGTGGATATTGGGGTGGGAATTGGGGAGGAAATTGAGGAGGAAATTGTGGATACGGCTGAGGAAAGCTTGGAAATCTTTGCTGAGGGGGTGCCGCAGGTGGAAGATTATTACTATCCGGTGAGGATTGTACTTCTTCCGGTTTGGTTACCTACAAAAAGAATGGAACAGTTATTACATATTTATATAATGATGTTATATTTTTTATTCAATTAAAGATGTTACATGCAATATACTAATTATCTACTATATCCGTTGATTTTATTTACCGGTAGTCCAAGAGCTTGTTGTAATTGTTGAAGTTGTTGTAGAAGTGCTGCCTTTGTCTGTGGATCTAATCCTATTCAATGAAATTCGAGAAAATATTAGTAACTAAATATCTAATTTAAGTTACTGGGTGCTTTATTAGACTATGTAATTTTAATAGAAACATACACACGTAAATAATAAATAATGGGTAGTACTCAGTGGTGTTGTGCTAATATTTTTTTTACCGGAACGCTAAAATTAAAAGACCGATTTTCGTATTTGTTTCAGTTGGGCAGAAGAAAAAAACGTTCCGGAATCCAGTTTACGTCCAAAAAAACAAGGCGGTTTGTTTCGGTTCGGGTTCAATTCAAACCTTTGTTAATAATAATACATATCAAAATTCATCAAAAATTAGGAAAAAATCAGCATTTTATTATTATTATTATTTTCAATACGTCAGCCAATTCTTCTCCTCTGAAATCTTTAGTTCCGGAATGCGTTTCTGTCCAAAAGGAAAAATTTCAGATACAATTCTGTATGTTTTTGCAAATTTTTTTTAGCATAACTATAATGAACTAATAAAGTTTAAAACATCCACCAACTTTGGAAATTTTATTTCACAACAAATGTATAATAAAAATTATTAGCATTAGTCGTAGGCCCATTTGGGTATGTTAGTACGGTTCGTGGGCTACTTTCATTTCGACAAAAATTAGAGAAAAGGCAATTCCGGCTCAAACGCGTGCCGGCTCAAAAAGGATTTTTCGTTTCGGCTCGACAGCACCACTGGTAGAACTGCCTTAGAGCAGGTCCGTGAACTAGGTGAAACTCCAACTCGATTCAGGGAAGAATAGTGTGAGAGATTTCCCATGGCCATTTCACACCGTTTATTTTCAAATGGAAACATATTACATTAAATAGAAGACCCCTCCCCCTAATATATGTATATATATATATATATATATATATATATATATATACAAAGTCTGATAATCGGGCATAACATCAATAAAAAACATGAATTTCTTTCAAAAATTTATTTTAAATCCATACGTTTCGGCTATAATCCTAGCCTTCATTCAGTGGAAACTAAAAATAAAACTAGCTGTAAGTGGAATTCTGTCTTAAGGCAATTAAGGCATCGTGCCTTAAGGCAAATTGCTGAAACTTCCCGTACCAAAAATTATTATTTTTTTTAAAACGATTGACATTTTTAAAACAAATTTACTTCGAAAAAATAAGATTTTTGAGAAACTATAAATTAAACAAAAAATTACTTTTTTTTGAAAAAAAAAATTTTTTCAAAAAAATTTTTTTTTTTTTTTTAATTTTTTTTGGAAAAAATAATGTTTTCTTCTTTATTTTGGCATATTTTGGAAGATCTTTTTTATCAATCGTACTGCTTTAACTGCATAGAGACAAAATGTCAAAGCGCGTAAGCGGCGCGTCGCCGTCTAACGAATAAATATTGGTACGGAACCCATAGGAATGCAAACAAAATTTATACTTATTGTTAAAATCTCTATAAAATATCTGATGATTTGATGTGCATATGTCTAATGATCATTTTTGACCGCCAAATGGCATTTTTTTTTACTTTTTTCGTTAGATCTCCGAAACCGCTAGACCTGCCCTCATGAAAATTTGATCAATTTTTCATCTTGTCAATACAAGTCAAATGTTTTTTGAATTATTAAAATCGGACGCTCCGTTCTCTTAAAAACTGAGTTACCGTTTTCGGCACTTTTTGCCCCGCATCTTTGGAACGGCTGGACCTGCCTTCGCCAAAAACTAATCAGCACGTCTCCTTATCAATACG